GTGAGTCCGGTTTCTGGACTCCTACATGGCTGACAGTGGTTCGAGTCCCAAACCTGGCGGCTTGCTTTCTCGCTTTCCCTCACTCTCTTTCACTCTGTCCCTCTCTGGTCAAATTAAAATAAATAAATAAAGGTAAATAAAATAATTCTTTTAAAAAAAGAAATTTCTGTTTAAAACAGAGATCTCAAAAGATCACATTTTTAAAAAGATTTATTTAATTTTATTTATCATATCATTATTATTTAAATTTGCTACAAGGCATGAATTCTTACCAGAGAGTGACACAGAGACAGAAGAGAGAGACAGAAGGAGAGGGAGAGGAAAGGAAAGCAAGAAAGCAAGCCACCAGGTTTGGGACTCAAGCTGCGGTCAGCCATGCGGGAGTCCAGTGCCTCAAACACCATACCATCTGCTGGCCCCACAAATATTATTTTTTTAAATATAAGGTCTGACTTTGTCGTGATCCTCCTGCTTCAGCTTCCCAGTTGGGACCATAGGCATGCCCCTCTACACCTTGTTATTTTTTTAGACAGTGTCTCACTATATTACTCAGGCCGACCTGGAACCTATGACTCCTCTGCCTCAGTTTCCCAAGGGAGTGCCATCACACCTGGTGGTCACGGTCTCCAGGAATAGAATGTGGGCCTCTCCTGTGGTCCAGTCAGCAGACCAGCAGTTATCTCAGCAGGGTGTGCCAGTGCAGCTGGGCCTGCTCTTGGTTTTTTTGTTTTTGTTTTAGATTTTTTGCCTTAAGGTGCATATGCTCACTGTGGGAAATGAGAGGAAAATGAGAAATCATGCCCCTGGTGGGGGAAGGCAGGATGGCCATGCCACATTGTAATCCCTCCTCCTCCCTTTTCCTCTTGGGACTCTAGGTATGCATGTGAACATACGCACCGGCCTGAGTTTTAAGCTACTTAATGTGTTTTTAAATTTTGGAGTCTGGGAAGCAGCAGTTGGTGTAATGGCTATGTCGCTGGACTCCCATGTAGTCAACTGTGGGTTGAGTCCCGGACCTGGTGGCTTAAACTCTAGTGGCTTAAACTCACGGTGGCTTAAACTCACGCTGTGTGCATGTGTGCCGCGTGTGTGCATGTGTTCCCAGGATCTTAAGAGGAGATTGGAGGAGAAGAGACTGCAGTGCGGCTATCCCCCCTGGGGAGTGATTTCTCGCTTTCTAGAAAAGAAAAATTTTTGAGTCTAGGACTCAAACTTCAGTTAGCCATGTGGGAGTCCAGTGCCTTAACTACCATGCTACCTGCGAGCCCCTATTTTGTTTATATGTAATACTCTCAAAAAAGAATTAATTAATTATTATTTAATTTGGTAGGGCATGCACATTCATCAGAGTGACAGAAAGAGAAAGAGAGAGAGAGAGGGAAAATGAGAAAGTATGTTGCCAGGTCTGGGACTTGAACCGTGGTCAGTCATGTGGGAGTCCAGCACCTTTTACAACCATGCCACCTGCTGGATCCAAGACCCTTATACTTTATTCAGATAACTACATGTATCTCTCTTTTTAAAAACTTTGCTGTAGGGTGCATGTTCTCACTAGAGAGAGACAGAGGGAAAAAGAGAGAAAGTGAGAAATCACCCCTTCCCCCTAGGAGAGATGGCCATGCTACAATCCCTTCTCCATTCTCCTCTCAGGGTTTTGGGCACAAATGCACATGCACCTGGCATGTTTTTCAAGAACTTGAACCACGTAGTTGGCCATGTGGGATCCAGCCACTTCAACCACCACACCACTGTCCGGCCCAACACATGTACCTCTTCTGTGTCAACACTTCAACGGCAACTTATATTTATTCTGCTTCATTTGTTTCTGCTTTAGACTATGAATGTTCACTTATTTCTCTCAGCAGTACCATATTGAGGCATGCTTTGATTTTTATTTTGGAGTCAGGAATAACCTTTCAATAGATTAATCTGTAGAATATTTCATCTTTTTTTTTTTGTGCTAGAGAGTGTGTGTGTGTGTGTTGGTTAGAGAGAGACAGAAGAAAGGGAGAAAGCACCCCCCATGGCGAATGGTCACATCACAATTCCTTCTCTTCCATCTCTCCCTTTTAGAACTTTGAGCACCCATGCACATACAGTATGTTTCTGTTTCTCAAGATGCTGGGTTCAGGATTCGAACTGTGTGGTCAGCCATATGGGATCCAGCTGCCTTAACCACTAGGCAACAGAACCAGTCCAGAATACTTTCAACACAGTTAGTATTCATGTATAATCCTTACGTAACGATTTTTCCTTCCTACAGAAAAAATAAGTGTGGGACCAGCAGCTGACGTAATGGCTATGTAACTGAATTCCCATGTAGTCAACCATGGTTTGAGTCCCAGACCCAGTGACTTGAACTCATGCAAGGCGCATGTGAGAGTGTGCCCAAGATCCTGAGAGAATGGAGGAGAGGGGATTGCGGCGTGGCCATCCCCCCTGAGGGTGATTTCTCGTTTTCTGTCTTTCTGCCCATTGGCAAGTGCGTGTACTCTATAGCAAAAATCTCTTCCAAAAAAAAAAAAAGAGTAAGTGTTTCTTTTTTTTTTTTTTTTTTTCAGAGGTTTTTGCTATAGGGCGCGTGCGCTCGCCAGACCGACAGAGAGAGACAGAGAGATAGAAAACAGGAAATCACCCCCCAGGGGGGATGGCCACGCCGCAATCCCTTCTCCTCCATTCTCCTCTCGGGACCTTGGGCACGCACGCACACGTGCCCGGCGTGAGTTTAAGCCACTGGGTCCAGGACTCGAACCGCGGTCGACTACGTGGGAGTCCAGCGACATAGACATTATGCTAACTGCTGGTCCCAGTGCTTCGGTTTTAAATATAGTATAAATCTTCTGTTTGAGGAATATTTTAATAAAGGAGTGGGTATCAGATGGGATATTCTTTCATCTCTACAAAGATCTAGGGTGCCTAAAATAAATGTTATGTTATCAGAATATTACCTGAGGTGGTTTTGGTGTTGGTTGAAGAAACAAGGCTGGCAAGGTTAACCATGTCTCCTGACGTGAAGATGAATGGAGCAGCCATGGTCATGGAGTTCGTCATAGGGTTGGCTCTGTCGGGGTTAGCATTCACCTGATTCTGCATTGCTTCCTACCAGATGAGGCAGGACATTTCAAAGTCAGAACACGTATTAGCTTTAGTTATACAGTTACTGAATGACCTTCCCCCCCCACCTCTCCTACTATCAAGCAAAACTAGTTCTGGCACACCATGTCCAGGGACCTCAGAGTTCTCATTAAGACTACTGCTTTTTTCAAACCAGGGCAACGGCAATGTTAGGTTGTCTCCCAATATTGTTTCTACTGGAGAAACGCAGTAGTGTATTATGTGCAAAAACTTCTGGACAATTCATTAATCTCTTTGGATCTTTTTTTTTTAATTTGAGAAATGATGGAGATGTCCTGAACAGACTGAAAAATAATTTCTAGCACTAATATTTTAGGATAAATTATTTACAAGGCAATGTGTTAGCAGGAGATCCCTGCAGAGAACCTACAGAGAACAATATTCTCTAGAGAGTTGTCCAACTACGTGTTCCATTCTGCCACTGAATAAATTCCTAAGAGAATATGTAACAAGAAAATAAATGAGTGTCAGATTTTAAAGTCTAGTTCCATATGTTGCACTTTTGCTTCCAGGGATATTTTGCTCAATTTTGGTGAAAAGATGCTTATCTTTATTTAATTTTTTTACTTTCAGAAGCAGTTTTTAACTAACATGATTGCTGCCAAAAATGTCCAGTTATGAAAGGACTCTGAACAAGGAATTGAAAGTTGAAGAGGATAACCAGTCTATAAGGAACCATCTGCTGGGAAAGACAAACAAAAAACTGAAAATGCAGCAGAAATGCCTATTTTGCAATCATGTGCTACATAGTGACATTTTGGTCAGTGATGGACTATGTACATGATGGCAGTCCCATGAGATTATACTAGGTTAGGGGCTGGCAGGTGGAGTGGTGGTTAAGGGCCCTGGACTCCCACATGGCCAACTGCAATTCAAGTCCTGGACCTGATGGCTTGCTTTCTCTTTCTCTCTCTGGTCAAACTAAAATAAATAAATAAAAATTTAAAAATAAATAATTATTAAAAAAAAAAACCTAAAAAGGGACCAGCAATTGATGTAATGGCTATGTCGTTGGACTCCCATATAGTTGACCACTGTTCGAGTCCCGGACCCAGTGGCTTAAACTCACGCCGGGTGCGTGTGTGTGCATGCCTAAGATCCCAAGAAGAGGATGGAGGAGAAGGGATTGCAGCGTGGCCATCCCCTCAGGGGGTGATTTCTCACTTTCTGTCTTTCTCTCTCTTTCTGGTGAGTGCACGTGCCCTATGATTTGAAAAAAAGAAGAAAGAAAGAAAAAAAAGAAATAAAAATAAAAATATTATACTAGGCTATACCACATTGCCTTGGTATGCAGTAGACGATACCATCTAGGCTTGGGTAAATACGCTCTATGATGATTGTGCATGAAGGCAAAATCATCTAACACCAAATTTCTCCTTTTTTATAAAGAATTATTTATTTATTTAATTTATTTATTTATATATTTTTAATTTGACCAGAGAGGGACAGAGAGAGAGAGAGAGAGAGAGAGAAAGTGAGAAAGCAAGCCACCAGGTCTGGGACTTGAACTGTGGTCGGCCATGTGGGAGTCTAGCACCCTTAGCCACCATGCCTCCTGCTGGCCCTGTAATTATTCTCTTAACTAAGAGCTTGAACTGAAACACATGTGAAACACATTCACCATTCTCTAGATATCTTTACATTTCTTCTTGACTGTTCCCCTTCTTAACCTCCACTATCACTTCCTTAGTTCGAGCCCTCACTGGTTCTTGCCTGCACTAATAAAAGTCACCATACACTCAACAGTTATTTAGCACTGTCTTCTCTCTCCAGTCTGTGAGCCATACTCCAAACAATTATCTTTTTAAAACAAATCAAATTATATCAGTCCTCTAAAAGCTTTTAATGAACTCTAACTCCCCCACATTATTTTTGGCTATAGGGTACATGAACTTGCCAGAGAAAGGAAGAGGCAAAGTGAGAAATCACTCCCAAGGGGGGATGGCCACACCACAATCCCTTCTCCTCTTGCGATTTTGGGCATGCATGCACATGCACCTGGAGTAATTTTAAAGCTGCAGGGTCCAAGACTTGAACCACACGGCTGGCCATGTGGGATCCAGTACCTTAACCTCCATGCCATCTGCCAGCGCCAGTTCAAACTCCATTTTTATTTTTAAATAATTATTTATTTAATTTTATTTATTATTATTATTTAAAAATTTATGGTAAGAGGGCTGGCAAGTAGTGTGGTGGTTAAAGGTGTTGGATTTCCACATGGCTGTCTGTGGTTTGAGTCCTGGACCTGGCGGCTTGCTTTCTTGCTTTCCCTTTCTTTCTCTGCCTCTCTCTAGTCAAATTAAAAAATAATGGGCCGGCAAGTGGTGTGGTGGTTAAGTTGCTGGACTCCCACATGGTCAACCATGGTGCCAGTCCCAGACCTGGTGGCCTGCCTTCTCATTCCTCCTCTCTGTCTCTTTGGTCAAATTGGAGAATAATAAATAAATAAAATATTTTTTAAATTGAAAAATAATAACAAATTGAATTAAATAAATAAATAATTCTTTTGAAAGTTTTACAGTAGGATACATGTGGTCTCCAGAGAGACACACAGAGAGAGAGAAAATGAGAAAGCAAGCTGCCAGGTCTGGGACTTGACCCACAGTCGGCCATGTGGAAGTCTAGTGCCTCAACAACCCTACTACCTGCTGGCCCCTCAAACCCCTACAGTTAGAAGCCAGTCTAACTCACGCCTTAGCACCTGCTACTCACAAACTCTACTTCCTCTGCCCATTCTTTAAGTCACACCACTTCAGTACTCAATGCATTTTTGAACATTCCATGTTCTTTCACACGTCTGTCTGTGGTTTGCTCTTTTTCTAGCATAGAATATAATTTTCTCACTTCTCTGTCTACCTCTCTTTTAAAATTCAGTTTAAAGTGTACATATACTCTATCCTTTCCTTAAGCGTCATTAATACTCCTCTTGTGTATTCCCATAATATTGCTGTTTGTCTGTCGTGTAGTACTCTGATGATTTTCTGTCTTTACTTTTACCACCCTGTGAACACCCCAAGGGTAGGGCAACATCATATTGATTTGTATATTCCCCATCCTACTGTTCCCTGACATACATGTGATGGCTTACAAAATTAATGAATAAGCGAATGGCCCACAGCTTAGTAGTTAAGAGTGCCAGATCCCACGTGGCAGACCGTAGTTCAAAACCTGGCCCCTGTGGCTTAAAAAAACACTGGGTGGGTATAATGTGTGCCCAGCATCTCAATGAGATAGATAGAGAAGGAAATTCAAGGTTACCGTGCCTCACTGAGGTGTGCTTTCTCCCTCTCTCTGTCTCTCTGGTGCGTATACCCACCCTCCGGCAGTGAAAAAAAAAAAAAAGAGGAGGGACCAGCAGTTAGCGTAATGGCTATGTCACTGGACTCCCACGTAGTCGACTGCGGTTCGAGTCCCTGACCCGGTGGCTTAAACTCACGCTAGGTGCATGTGCGTGCGTGCCCAAGATCCCGAGAGGAGAATGGAGAAGGGACTGCAGCATGGCCATCCCCCCTGGGAGTGATTTCTCGCTTTCTATCTCTCTGTCTCTCTCTGTCTGTCTGGCGAGCGCACGCGCCCTATAGCAAAAACCTCTCCAAAAAAAAAAGAGGAAACAGCAGATGGCAGATGGTGTAGTGGTTATGTCACTGGACTCCCATGTAGTCAACCACAGTTCAAGTCCCAGACCTGGTGGCTTGAAACTCACACCAGGCACGTGTATATGTGTGCCCAAAATCCTGAGAAGAGAATGGTCAAGAGAAGGGATTACAATGTTACCATCCCCTGGGGGGTGATTTCTTGCTGTCTCTCTCTCTCTCTGTTTTTTCAGTAAGCACAAGTACCCAAAGCAAAAATCTCTCTCTAAAAAATAAGAAAGAAATGAGGGGCCAGCATGTGGTATAGTGGTTAAAGGTGCTAGACTCCCACATGGCCAACCATGGTCTGAGTCCCAGACCTGGTGGATTGAAACACGTCAGGTGTGTGTGTGTGGGCATGCCCAAAATCCCAAAAAAGAAATGGATTATAGCACAGTCACCCCTCTGGGGGGTGATTTCTTGCCTTCTGTCTCTCTGGCAAGCACATTTGCCTGATAACAAAAATCTCTCAAAAAAGAGAAATTAAGGGAACCAGCAGTTAGTGTAATGGCTATGTCGCTGTACTCCCACATAGTCGACCACGGTTCGTGTCCCAGACCCGGTGGCTTAGAACTCATGCCGGGCATGTGTCCATGCGTGCCCAAGATCCTGAGAGGAGAATGGAGGAGAAGGGATTGCAGCATGGCCATCCCCCCTGGGGGGTGATTTCTCGCTTTCTGTCTCTATGTCTCTCTCTGTCTGTCTGGCGAGCGCATGCGCCCTATAGCAAAAACCTCTCAAAAAAAAAGAGAAATTAATAGATTAAATCATGACAGCTAATTGTTTTTTACAATTACCATAAGATGTATGCAATTCAGAAAACAAAGTAAATTTTAGTTCTGTGTCAAGTCAAATTTAATTAGAAAGGGAAATTTTGGGGATCAGCAGGTGGCATAGTGGTTACATATTGGACTCCCACATGGCAGACTGTGGTTTGAGGCCCAGACCTGGTGGCTTGCTATCTTGCTTTTCATTTCTTTCTCTCTCTCTCTTTTTCTGGTTGAATTAAAATAATAATAATAAATGGAATTAAATAAATAAATAATTCTTTTTTTTTTAAAAAAGGAATATTTTCATGGAAAAAGATTCTCAAGGCAAATTAATGTTATTTTAGGATTAGTCAAAACATTGTTCTTTAATCACCATAAATAATTCAGGGCTTTACAGAACGTTATTTATTTTAAAAGATACTAATGGTACTGAGTCACAAGACTGAGACATATTAGAAACACTGCTCTGATAAGACAGAAAATTCCATTTCAATTCAACTCCTACAAAGGAATCCTTGACTTTGATTGAAGTGTACCCTGGGGAGTATAAAAAGAACCGCACCTGGAGGATGACCAAAATCTCGGCGTTGTTTTTTTCTAGGGCTATATCAAAGGCAGATTTATCAAATTTGCTGAAAGCATGCACATCAGCTCCGTATTTGATAAGTAACTCCACAACATCTCGATGGTGGTGCTCTGTGGCCCAATGCAAAGCTGTCATCTTCAGCATGTCCTTGGCATTCACATCTGCCCCATTCTGTCAAAGAAAAGCAATTTTTCCAACAGATACTCGTTAGATTAGCTTGGGTACAAGAGTCCATTAATACATATAAAGGATTTCCACAGAGATTATACACGCTCATCTTTAGATCAGGGTTAAGGAATATCAAAAGGAAAACCATTTCTTAAAGTCTCCTGAATGCTAACAGACATAACGCTTTCATTGAGTGGGTCGTCTAAGGACATTACTGGAAAATTGTAACAGATGGGCGAGAATGGAGGAAAGAACAGATTTTTGTTGCATTTATTAACAGAAAGCTGAGTGCCTAAAAAAATGGGTATAAGTGCAGAGAACACCTGCAGAAATGGAATAAAGAAAAATCAGTAAAGTCTGTTTAGCCTTCAAAAATTAGAAAACAAATTCCTCATAGCCATGATGATTTGGGGGGGGTTACTTATTCTTCTATAAGAGAGAGAGAAAGACAGACAGACACCTCCCAACAGGCTGGCTGTGATCCAGCCTCAGCCGACCCTGAGTATCAGGAGGCCCCTGGATGTGAACCAGGGACATCCCTATGTTCCATCTTCCGGCCTGTGCTGACTCTTGAAAGAAATGCAGCTCAATGCTATAAATTGTCCTAAACCTAATCCTTCCCAGCCCAGTTTCCTACGACCTGTTCAAGAAAGAAAATAAAGAGGTGGTTGTCCTTTCTCCAACACAGCCCCACCACTATTCCTGCTTTACCCTAACGAGGAGCTCCACGACGTGAGCATGTCCATCAGCTGCAGCCATGTGCAAGGGGGTCCTGTCCACTTTGGTCCGGGCATCCCTGCTAACACCTGCTCGAAGCAGCACTTCTGCTGTGGAATAATGACCATACTGGGCTGCAAGGTGGAGGGGTGATGTTCCAAGCTGTGGGAAAATAATACTCATTGAATATGCACTGTGTGGAGTCCTAGACCATTACTGGAGAGATACAGATGAACAAGAGGTGAATCCTATGGTTCCTGTATTTGGAGACAGAATCTGGCTGAGCAGATAAGACTGAAAGAATTAGTTAATTTAAAAATTATAGGTGGGGGAACCAGCAGTTAGTGTAATGGTTATGTTGCTGGACTCCCACGTGGTTTACTGCGGTTCGCGTCCCGGACCCGGTGGCTTAAAACTCACGCCAGGCGCGTGTGTGTGCGTGTCCAGGATCCTGAGAGGAGAATGGAGGAGAAGGGATTGTGGCGTGACCATCCCCCCTGGGGGGTGATTTCTCGCTTTCTGTCTCTATGTCTCTCTCTGTCTGTCTGGTGAGCGCACGCGCCCTATAGCAAAAACCTCTCCAAAAAAAAAAAAAAATTATAGGCGGGGGTGGATAAATAAATAAATACAATACATAATATAATAAATACAATAAAATACTTTTTTTTTTAAGAATTATTTTATTTTGGGGCCAGCAGGTGGTGTGGTAGTTTGAGTCCCGGATCTGGTGGCTTGCTTTCTCACTTTCCCTCTCTCTCCCTCACTCTGTCCCTCTCTGGTCAAATGAAAATAAATAAATAAAGTTAAATAAAACAATTCTCTAAAAAATGAAAGAATTATTTTAACTTTTTTAAAAAAATTCATAAAAAAGTGACAGAATGGTATTATTTATGGTACCTGCTGATACCATAAAATAATTCTTTTAAAAAAAATATGTGGGGCTGGCAGGTGGCATGGTGGTTAAGGGTGTTGGACTCTCACATGGTCAACTGTGGTTCAAGTCCCAGACCTGGTGTCTTGTTCTCTCACTTTCTCTTTCTTTCTCTATCTTTCTCTAGTCAAATTAAAAAAACAAAAAGCTTTAAAAAAATTAATATGCTAGGGACCAGCAGATGGCATAATGATTAGGTCCCATGTAGTCGACTGCAGTTCAAATTTTGGACCTGGCTTAAAACTCACTCCAGGTATATGTGCTTACATGCCCAAAATTCCAAGAAGAGAATGGAGAAATGACTGGTGTGGCCAGCCCCCCCGGGGGGTGATTTCTTGTTTTCTGTCTCTCTGACCCTCTCTGTTTTTCCAGCAAGCATGTGTACCCTATAACAAAAAACTATCTAAACAAAATTAATATGCCTGTGGGCAAATAAATGTTACCAATTAAATAAATGCTAAGTATAATGGCTTTAAGTCAGGTAGATTAAGTAAGATACCCTGGGATATGATTTTTTAAAATAATTATTTTATTTAACTTTATAGCTCCCAGGATATTAAAAAAAAAAAAAATTCATTCAGGGGCTAGCTGGCAGTGTGTTGGTTAAGGTGCTGGACTCCCACATGGGCCGACTGCGGTTAGAGTCCTGAACCTGGTGGCTTACTTTCTCACTTTCCCTTTTTCTCTCTAAATTGAAAAATAAATAACAATAAATAAATAAATATTTTATTTAAAAAACATGTATTCATTTATTTATCTATTTATCTGTTGTGGTTTTTAAGCCACTGTGTCCAAGACTTGAACTGTGGTCAGCTATGTGGGAATACAGTGCCTTAACCACCATACCACATGCTGACCCAACCTAGGACATGATTTCAAGCAGAACTTTGAAGGTTAAAAAAAATGAATCAAAAAGAGGGGCTGGTAGGTGGCACAGTGGTTAAGGGTGCTGGATTCCCACATGGCCGACCATGGTTCAAGTCCCAGACCTGGCGGCTTGCTCTCTTGCTTCCCCTTTCTCTCTCCCTCTCTGTCTGTCTGGTCAAATTAAAGAAAAATAATAATAATAACAAATGAGATTAAACAAATAATACTTAAAATGAATAAAAAACAACATTATGAGTCAGGGGTAAAGAGATGAGGTGGATAGATTCAAAATAACTCCCAGGAAAAGGGCAGAACTAGAAAGTTACATGTGGAATTTGGGGTATAAATTCGATTGGTCGGAACAGAAGTTTGTTGCCATAGTAAAGAGACTGATGAGATGAAGAGGCAATAAAAACTTAACAGCATGCCAATAGCAACAAGCAAGCCTGCATCTTCTCTACATAGATCTGTAAGAGTTACCCATCAGCACTGACTATGGCCAGAGATCCACTCCTATTTTTGCGTTATTCTCTATCTCAAGTCTGTTTTGCTCATTCTTTGCTTTTCCATAGTCAGCCTCTGGGCCTGACTGGATTTAATTCACACTGCTCTTTTTAGGTCTATTTATGGAAATGCTCATCTCACAGGTTTCCTTTCTTCCTTTTTGTGAAGTGCTAAGAACTTGTTGGCCTCTGAAATTATGAATTAATATACAGAATAAAGGTCATTTCCCCATCAAAATTGCTAAAATTAGGTAATGCTTACAAAATCTGGGAATGCTAAGAAAGTCCACATTGTAGCGTGGACCAGGAGCTTCTGAAACTCTGGATTCTAAGTTGGTTGTTAGGCTCATCAAATTACACCTTTCTCTTTAATGCCTTTTAAGAGTGGTAAAGGAAACAAGATGGCTAGACTATTTCTTATTAACCAGGATATTAGAAAAAAGGAAACAAAGTGTCTATTAGTTTAGGAATGCAATTTTATTATGCTGATTTTGTTTAATTTTAGCTAATTACGGCTGCTTATACTCAAAAACACTCCTGAGAGAAGTAAACCTTTAGAAAAGACTCTAAAGGGCATTATAGAAGCATTACAGAAAATCACAAGTATATAATACCTTACTATTTCCACCTATATATATCCACAGGAGACTCTTTCAACTTGGAAAACTAAAAGAAAACTACATATTTAGGTGAAACAAAGAAAATTAAATTCTTGTAGGGGGAATGAGGTAGAAAGGGAATGAAGAAAAATCAGTAAAGCCTGATTTGAGAAAAGGCACAAATTAGAAATAATTAGATCTTTCTGCTAAGCTCACCCAGTCTGTGGTGAATGGAGCACCGTTTGCCATCAGTGTTCTCACTTCGTCATCTTGGCCTTTTCTTGCTGCTTCTAGCAATCTCTTCCCCAGGTCCACCAAAGACATTTTTATGCATAGGAGCAAACGTTTTCAGGTAGCTATAACTCAAACACAGGGAAAGCTGCCTGTAAAATATCTTTAGAGGACTTATTATACTTGAACATAAGATAAATCTCAAGTTGACTGTCTGAAAGGTCATTTCCTTTCTTTTTAGATTTTTGCCATAGGGCATAGGAGCTTGCAGGAGAAAGAGAGAGACAGACAGACAGACAGAAAGTGAGAAATCACCCCCAGAAGGGATGGCCACACCACAATTCCTCTCCTTTCCAGGAAGACTGAGGCTCAAGTCTGGAACCTAGACATTTGAAAATCACACTGGTCGGGACCAGCAGATGACGTAATGGCTACATTGCTGGACTCCCATGTAGCCGATCACAGTTCGAGTCCTGGACATGGTGGCTTAAACTCACACCGGGCACATGTGCGTGCATGCCCAAGATCCTGAGATGAGAATGGGGAAGAAGGGATTACAGCATGGCCATCCTCCCTGGGGGGTGATTTCTCGCTTTCTGCCTCTATGTGTCTCTCTGTCTTTCTGGTGAGTGCACACGCCCTATAGCAAAAACCTCTCAAAAAAAAAAAAAAGAAAAGAAAATCACACTGGGCATGCATATGTATGCATGTGCCTGTATCTCTCTCTCTCCTCTCTGGCAAGCACACAGATCCTATGACAAAAACATTTTAAAAGCGAGGGGGCAGTAGATTATGCAGCGGCTAAGGCAGCTGAATCTCACATGGCTGACTCTGTGGCATGAACCCAGACCTGGCAACTTGAAAAACATGCCAGGGACATATGCGGGTGTGCCCAAAGTCCCAAGAGAAGAATGGAGGAGTAGGGATTGTGGTGTGGCCATCTTCCTACAGGGTGATTTCTCACTTTCCTTCTCTATTTCTCTCTCTCTCTCTCTTTTTTAAGAATTATTTCCTTTATTTTATTTTTTTAAATTATTTTATTTATTTATTTATTTATTTATTTTTAATTTGACCAGAGAGAGACAGAGGATGAGTGAGAGAGAGAGGAAGTGAGAAAGCAAGCCACCAGATTCAGGACTCGAACCCTGGTCGGCCATGTGGGAGTGTCCAGCACCCCAACCACCATGCCACCTGCTGGTCCCATCCTTTATTTTATTTATCATTATTATCACTATTATTTATTTTGACCAGAGTGAGACAGAGAGAGAAAGGGAGATAAAGCAAGAAAGCAAGCTGCCAGGTCCAGAACTTGAACTATGGTCAATCATGTGGGAGGCCAATGCCCTCAACCACCACGCCACCTGCTGGCCCCTCTCTCTCTTTAAAAAACACATGTGGTAAAATAAATAAATAAATAAAGATATTATTTTCTTTCCCTTTTTCAGGGGGAGGGACTTTTTTTTTGGAGAGGTTTTTTTTTTTTTTTTTTTTGGCTAAAGGGTGCATGGCTTGCCAAAAAGACAGAGAGAGACAGAGAGACAGAAAGCGAGAAATCACTCCCCGGGGGGATGGTCACGCCACAATCCCTTCTCCTCCATTCTCCTCTCAGGATCTTGGGCACGCACACACACATGCCTGGTGTGTTTAAGCCACCAGGTCCAGGATTCGAACCGTGGTCTATATGGGAGTCCAGCGAAATAGCCTTATACCAACTGCTGGTCCTGGGGGAGGGACCTTTAACAGAGTCTCATGCCATGATTCACCTCCCAAAGGCCTCCACCTTGTCAGGATCTTGGGCGTGTGTACTCCTGGGCTGTTTTCAGGTTGACCAAGGATCCAGTCCTGTGTGCTGGTCACGTGGTGTGCACCACTAAAGCTGGGCCAGATACAATTTCTTGAAAATGTATAATAAAATGCATCAACATTTGGTGATCTGCGTAGTTTGGTAAACTAATACTTTCCAAATGACCAATACCTGATGTTATAAAAATCATACTCATACAATTCAAAGTAAAAGACCAATGAGCTTTAACGCAACAAAATAGAAAAGTTCATTGATATGGTTTCAGGTTACTCACTACAATTAACTTCATTAAAAATTACTTATATAGTTTTATTATTATTATTATTTAATCTGCTATAGGGCACATGTGCTTACCAGAAAGAAAGAGACAGACAGACACACACACACACAAAGTGAGAAAGCAAGCCACCAAGTCCAGGATTCCAACTGTAGTCAACCATGTGTTAGTCTAGTGCCTTAACAACCATGCTACTTGCTGGCCCTGACAATTCACTCTTACAAAATTACTACTTGGGCCAGCACGTGGCGTAGTGGTTAAGGTTCTAGACTCCTCACATGGTTGATGGTGGTTTGAGTCCCAGACCTAGCTGCTTAAGGTCACACCAGGCACATGTATATGCATGCTCAAAATCCCGGGAGGAGAATGAAGGAGTTGTGGCATGGCCATACACCCGCAGGGGGTGATTCCTCATGTTGTCTCTTACTATGTCTCTTTCTGGCGAGCACTCACTGGAGAGATAGAAAGACAGAAAGTGAGGGGTTATTTTCCCAGGGGATAACCATGCCACAATCCCTTCTCTATTCTCTTCTTGGTACTTGGGCATGCACCCACACACACCCAGCATGAATCTCAAGCGTCCAGGTCTGGGACTTGAACTATGGTAGCCCATATGGGAGTCCAGTGATGTAACCACTATGCCATCTGCTGGTCCCCCTCGTCTTCCTTCATTTCTCTATCCATCAAAATTTTGGACACACAAATGTGTCCAGCATGTTTTTAATCTGCTGGGGCTGGTATCTGTACTATGGCTGGCCATGTTGGATCCAGCTCCCTACAAACAGTGCTTTAGCACTGCATCACGAGGCTCACTTTACAGTATGAACTTTGGGACCAGCAGATGGTATAATGGTTACATCGCTGGACTCTCACATGGCTGACTGCAGTTCAAGTCCCAGACTCAGCCACTTGAAACTCACACTAGGCATGTGTGTGTGCATGCCCGAATGCCCAAGTGCGGGAGAGGACAATGAAGAAGGGATTGCAGCATGGCTAACTCCTCTGAGGGGTGATATTTTGCTTCCTGTCTCTCTGTCTCTCTCTGTTTTTTTTTTTTTTTTTTTTTGGCTAGCACACATGCCCTTTAACAAAAATTTTTGGAAATTTTTTTTAAAAATAGAGTATGAACTTCTGGAGTCAGCAGGTGGTATAGTGGTTACATTGCTTGATTCCCACATGACCAACTGTGGTTCGAGTTCTGGACCTAGAGGTTTCAAAATCACACTGAGCATGTGTGCATTTGTGCCCAAGATGCTGGGAGGAAAACTGATTGTGGCATGGCCATCCCCCCTGGGGTTGACTTCTTACTTTCCCTCTCACTGTCTTTGTCTCTCTCTCTGGTGAGTGCATGCACCCTCAGGCCAAAACTAAAATCAAAACCAAAAACTAGAGTATGAATTTTTAATTTTTAAAAATTTTGCTAGAGGGGACCAGCAGCAGATGGCTAAATGGTTATGTCACTGGACTCCCACATAGCCAACCGAGTTTTTTTGTTTTTAAAGAATTGTTTATTTAATTTTATTTATTCATTCAGTCATTTTCATTTGACCAGAGAAAGACACACAAAAAGAAGGAAAGAGAGAAAGCAAGCCAGCAGGTCCAAGACTCGAACAGTGGTCAGCCATGTGGGAATGTCTAGTGCCTTAACCACCACGCCACCTGCTCATCCACCCAAGGTTTGAGTCCTGGACTTGGTGACATAAAACTCATGCTAGGCGCGGGTGCGTGTGTGCCCAAGATCCTAGGTGGAGAAAGGAGGAGAAGGGATTGTGGTGTGGCCATCCTTCCTGGGGGGAAGATTTCTTGCATCCCATCTCTCTCTCCTCTGGCAAGTGCCAATATAGCAAAAATCTCTCTAAAAAATTTTTTGTTAGAGGGCTCATGTACTTGCTAGAAAGAGAAAGACAGGGAGAGGGAGAAAGTGCCCCTCGTGAGGGATGGCCAATCCCATCCTTACTTCTCCAGTTCTCTCTCCCTCCTTTCCGGATTTTAGGCACCTCTGTTTATGCAGCCAACATGTTTCTCAAGCCACCAGGGCTGTCCACACAGTGCAGCAGTTAAGTTCTACCAAGAGAACCTGTGGTAGGCCACATGGAACCCAGTCGACCTAAACACCAGGTCACAGAGCCAGCCCAGAATGTAATCTTTTTCTTTTTTTTTCCAAAGAGAGGTTTTTGCTATAGAACATGCGCACTTGCCGAAGAGAAAGACAGCAAAAAACCACCCCCTGGGGGAATGGCCATCCACAATCCTTTCTCCTCCATTCTCCTCTCAGGATCTTGGGCACGCACACACGGGTGTGTTTCAAGTCACTGTGTCCAGTGCTTGAACTGCGGTCGACTACATGGGAGTCCAGTAACGTAACCATTACACCATCTGCTGGGCCCTGAGGGTTACCATTAATACTGTGAACTTCCATAATATAATCTAAGAGTCCGTTTTTTATTACTCAAGAAAATACTGGAGGAAAGGGGGCTAGACAGTGGCACAGCGGTAGGACAGCTCTGTACGGCTGACTCACATGGGAAGAGATCCAGATTTGCATCTGGTGACCTACCTGAACAGGCTGGGTGCGTGTATGCCCATGAGTCGGGGTTGGCTAAGGCTAGGGGTGGAGCCAAGCACCATGACCTTACTGAGGTGCTGTTTCTCTGTCTCATTTTCTCTCACTCATGGAAGAAATAAACGTTAAAGAAAGAAAAAAGGGCTAGCTGGTGGCATGGTGGTTAAGCTGACACACAGCAGTTGACTGCATGGTTTGAGTTCAAGACCTGGGGACTTGAAAAATGTGCTGCATGTGTATGCATGCGTCCCCAAAATGCAGAAAGGAGGGAAGAGAAGGGACTGTGGTGTGATCATTCCCCATGGGGTGGGGGTGCTTTCTTATTTTCCCTCTCTCTGATGAGCACACATACCCATTGGCAAAATAAAGCAAAAAAAAAGAAAGAAAGAGAGAAAGAAAAAGGCACTAGATTCCACATGGCTAACTGTGCAGTTTGAGTCCTGGACCCAGTAGCTTGAAAAACACACTGGGCACATATGTG